CATCCTACTGAGAATGATACATAAGAATCGTGAGTCAATGTCCATGCCCAACAGGGCAACACCAACAGCATAACCCAAATGTAGCTCTCTCTTGTGAATGGCGCCAGGCGCCCTATTTACTCTACAGCCTATCCTACAACTACAGCAATGAAAGCAACCAGACAACTTGACTACCAGCGAGTGATGATGTCAACACCAATGGCGACCTCCACCTCCACCAGGTACGTGTCCTCTTCACCCACACTCTTCCCTGTTACCCACACAGCGCCCTTCACCTCCGAAGAACCACCTTTGCTCTTCACCCCTCTGCGCCCACTCGGCAGCCCAGGCTATGGCCGGCAGCGCCCAGCGCCCAGGCAGCGCACCACCGTATTCGTGCTGCCTGCCTGCCTTGCGCCCAACGCAGCTTTACACAGCGCAGCACACCCGCAATCGCGCAGCGTGCTGACAATGCCTGCATTGGCCAAGGATCCCTGCCCACTTGCCCTGCTTGCCTATATGCCAGTGTCCCTTCAGACTGTACTGGGCCCCAAAGGCTGAAACCAGCCCGATACAGTTGGGCCCCAGGGCAATGGAGTTGCGCCTCCTTCATCGAGGCCTGCGGCCAGATTCAGATACTGGGCCGATTTCCCTTTGACATTTTCGGCCTCTATACCCAGCATGCATTGTCAGCCTGTCGTTCGAGTGCCCAGGGCCTAACTAACTCAGAGGCCCTGGGCTTTCAGCATTTGCTGAAATCCGAGACTCGGTGCACTCCAACCAACTGGCATGCTGCAACTGTATGGACCCCACTTCGTGAAATGTTGGCACAGAGGGCTCTTGTTGATTTCCTGGCCCGCCTTCACTTAGGGCGGGCACGAGGCTTGCTGGGGCCTTGGCCCAGAACATGTACATCATGGCAAGGCCCCTACTTGAGGGCTCAATCCTCAAAGAACTGCCAACCAAAAACCAAAAAAAAAAAAAAGTTTGTTTTTTTTGAATATATAATTTTCAAAAAATTTTCTCTCCAACTTTTCTGATTTATCATTTATATAATAAATTATAATTCCACAAAATTCAATTGTTTCCCCAAAAAAAAGTATGGGATAACCCCATATTATTTTCTTTTATTTTAATTTTGCATTTTTATTTTTTTCAACAGAAAAAATCCGCGAAAAATGTGCCCGCTATGAGGCCGACCTCAGTTGCGGATGCACCATGAACATGGCCGCGCTCCGAGCTTGACCCAGTGACCACGGCCACATGTGATACATAGCTGTGTGTGTTTAGATCGCCGCTATGGAATAAAGAAATATATTCTTTAGTAATCAATTTTCATTTTTGATGTCAAGACCATGTTTACTAATTGAGTCACCAATCATTGTTATGTTTTTGAATTTGCAATTTTTGACAGATATGGGAGGCAAATTTGCAGGCAAAGAGATGACGGAGCCAGCACCAGTTTTCATTAAAAAACTTCCTGGTCCAAATGAGGCACCACATTTTATTAACATTTTGAACAAACAGGGGTTGACACTCCAACATTGGGTTACAGATTCCGCTGCAAAAAAATTGTGAGACACTCATACCCTTCATTATTCTATCTCTACTCGTCCTTTCTTTTTTATTCTGTACATTTGTACAAATTGCGAATGTGATCAATTTGGCATTTCTGGTCATCTGCAGTCCTGTCGGGGATGGTCTACATTGTCGCATGGTCTTAAAATTTTTACATCTTGAACCAATCTAGGTCGTCCACGGTCGTACCGAGCTGCAGCCAGCATTGATGTCCAATCTTAGGACTTTAAGATCATGTGATGATCTTGGCCGACGACTGGGTAGCGGTTGGTCAACGGCCCAGATTAGAAGTTTAGCAACTCAAAGGACGTTGGGTTAGCCAGGCTTCAGGAAAAACCGGTCACGGAGGAGAAGGACGTAGGAGGAGGACGAGGAGGAAGAGGGAGGAGGTTTAGACCTCCTTTTCCTCGTGCTTTCCTCCTCAATATTTTCAGTCCTCTTTATCATTGTCTTCTTGGTCATCCTCATTGCCCATTCCATATTTGCCGCGCCCGCTCCTTCTCCTTCTTCTTCTACTCCACCTCCTCCACCACTTTCTTTGCATTTGTTGTGCCCGCTCCTCCTTGTTCAATTCATCATCCTCCTCCTCCTGGTAGATAGAGAGAGAGAGACAACAACGAACCCATTTGTCTATTACCTTGCAGGTACTCAATGGATCAGCAGTGCCTGCAGTTGCTTGTTCTCCTTCTTCTACTCCTCTTTGTCGTCCTCCTCCCCCTACTCTTCATAGATAGAGACAGAGAAAGCAGCCAACCCACTTGTCTACTCCTTGTTGTTGCAAGTTTGTGCACAACTGCAGCTGCAGCAGTGATTCCATGAATCCCTACTTTAGCTCTTTGCTATTTTTTTAAATTTCCCTTTACGTTGGTCTGACCACAGGAGGAGTTTCCCCTGTCGGTAGACATGAGAACCGCTCCAATTGGCCACAAATTGGATGTTTGCGACCCTGGAGAACAGCGGTCCCAAATGTCCAATCCTAAATTTTATAGGGTTCAAGTATTTGGCATTTTGACAATGGGGAACATAAGTCATATGCTATTTTTACCTAGGCAACCAGAGTGCCCTGGGACCATTTTTGTCCAGACGGGCCAAAAAATGAAAATTATATATATACAATATATGAAACTCCGACGAAACAGTTTGTCACAGCCCCTCGTTTGTTGTCCTCTTCTCCCTCTCTGCCTACGGTTTACCGGGCAGTTCTATTTGACGATATATATTACAATATATATCTACGCTACCAGAGTGGCCCAGGGCCAGTTGGCCGGCCGGGCCAAAAATATATATGTATATCATGGCTACGCTGGACCCGGACTCAGACATTTCCAGACATCCGGAATTCCGGACATTTCTGGACCTCTGGACGTGGAGGGATCCGGTCTGTCCGCATGTCTGGGCAGGTCCGGAAATGTCCCGATCATTAAAGAAAAATAAAAATAAAAAAATCTGAAAAAAAAGTACGTTGTGCAGAATAACAATGCAAACCAATTTTTGCCTCAAAGTCATGTCAGAATTCCTAACCAAACTTAAGTTAAAAGTCAAAAACTATAAAAAACTTAAAAAAAGCTTAAAAAAGGACTTTAGGAACTAATAAAAGCTAATGAATTATTAATAACTAAAAAATTGGGGTTGTCTAATAAATTATTATAGACAGAGAGCATGTTCGGACCCCCCAAAAAAGCAAAAACGGGCCTGAAAAACCCCCAAAACAGATTTGCAGGCTTGGCTTCTCAATGGGGAAGGGTCGTGGACCGTTTTTTTTTTTCTCTCTTGAAATTTGGCAGATCCAGACCTTTCAGACCGGACGTCTGGAGTCTGGAGTGAATCCTGACTGTCTGGACGGTGGTCCGGATGTCCGGATTGTAGGCATGATATACATATTTTTTAACCTTCCCTGGTTCTTGCACGACCGGACCGCCATGGAAAATATGATGCTCAGGGCAGTCCGCCTGGTAGCCTAGATTTTTCTAGATRTAAGAAAATAAACCTCTTGTAACAAGAATATTTGGATGTGTTGAACTTTGACAGGTTTCCCTCAAAGTTGGCACCAGTTTATTATGCGGGAGGAGGCTTTGATCAATCTGCGAGCCTAGGAACGAATTCGGCCTACGATGTAAGGCAGATTGACAATACAGGAACTCAAAATTTAGACAAGAATTTCAGAGAGAAGGAATTTCCTGAAGGCGAGCAAACAGTTGCTGGAAACAGGATTGATGGAATGGAGGAAGAGGCCAAAGCAAGTCAAGTTTCAAACACTGACAAAAGAGATGAACGAACTTTTGAAGGCGAGCAACGAAAAACTAAAGAGTCGTTTGAGCATTTGAGATCAATGACTCAACGATCATCTGAAGCATCACCTCTACGAGCTCAAGAGAACTGTCCCGGTCGATCCATACCATTCAATGGCGGACATGAAGTTGAGGTACAATCGCCTCTTAAAAGTGATGCGAATTGTGTTGAAGCATCTTAAAGCACATGGGAACCATGCACCTGATACGGAAAATAATTGTCCTGCATCTTCAACGGTTCCATCATCTTCAGTTCCACCTCTGAAACATGCCAAATCTCAAGGCGAATTGACTCTCAAGATGCGAGCAAAGGGTCCCAGTACATCCCCGATTGGAGGAGATGAAGTGGAAGTTCAATCGCCTCTAAAAGTACCTGGAGCGCAAGAAGTTGGCGTGTGCCCAAGGATGCAAAAAAGTATTCCTTCATCTTCATTGTTCAGTGGAGAAAATGAAGTTAAAGCCAGATCACCTTCCAAATCTGTAACTAATTCTCTTGGGGCATCATTGCAATCACAGGGACAATATGAAGCTGATGTGGCTGGCAGGCTGGAAACCAATCCTCCCACAACGACTGTCTTCTCACAGCCATCTGGAAAGAGTCAAAAGTCTCAGTCATCCTCGTTGAACACTCGATCACGCAAAGCAGGTCAGAAGAGTCAAGTAGGGGCAATCTCCCAACCACGAAGCAAGAGAGAAACTGAAGAAGTTTCGGGGGATCTCCCAATGGTTCGTGACCATGGTTCACAACACATTTCAGAGGATGACGTTGTTGATTTGGCAGGGGATGACTTGAACAGCGACAACGTGAAGCGTGAGCAGGGTTGCACCGAGACTGCCCAACCAGCAGCTCGACCACCGAAGCCTCCGCCAAAGTCCCCAGCACCAAAGAGAAGTCGGCCGAATAAAGATAAGAGTTGATATATATATATATATATATATATATATAATATATATGTATGTATATATTATATATATATAGAGAGAGAGAGGGAGATAGATAGATAGATAGATAGATAGATAGATAGATAGATAGATAGATAGAGAGAGAGAGAGAGAGAGAAGGCACGGAGGGAGATGACAAATATAGGAAGAATATATGGTGGTGCAAAACTTCTATGTACTATGGTGACATTGTTCACCGTAACTTTTTGTCATGCAGATTGTAGATAATATGTTTATCCTTCACATGAATTTTTTTCGTAGGTTAGATTTATGATTGAGTTAATAATAATATACCCTCATGACACCCTTTCTTTGTTCCTTTTTTTTTTTGTCTGTTGTGTGGTGGTCGTGCGGTCTCATGGCTTGGGCTGATGTATGTGCAACGCAGAGGTCAAAATATAAAAATGTTATTAATTTTAAAATTTTATATACTTGTCAGGAGAATCATTGTGTTACCAACATGCTGTATCTAATTTTATCTTTTGTTTTTGTACTTAATTGTTTGTTGATGCAGGTGCATGAGCAACGGTCGATCTGCTATAGTACAAGTGGATGAATCTGTTTCGCCTGGATGAACCTATACACTAGCCATTTTTGATATTGTATTTCATAATATTGCAATCATACTCGTTTTCAAACACACTTTTCATGCATGTAAACAGCAACGCAGCATACTGGCGACATGCGCCCACACAAGACTCAGAGATATGGCTTCAGATATGAGTTCACTCTCAATCAGTTATGGCAACTTCAGCGCCCAAACAACTCACTGTTCACA